CCCCAAAACCCCAAAACCCCTATATTCTAAATCGAAGCAAATCTGAGAATTTATCAAATTAATTAGATCATATCTATTATTGTAGTTTCATTGCTTTTAAAGTACTTTTTTTACTTCCTCAACAAGAGCTGTTTATCTTTCATCTTAAAAGTATTTTCCCATTGCTAAAAATCTTTCATCTTTATGCTCAAATATCTCAGTTAACTCTTCAATAACATCACTAAAAGGTTCCTAGTTCTTATATTTCAGAATAGTCATCTTAGTCAGTGAATCAGTCAAGAATTGCACAAAATCTTTTTTGATTTTCTTGTCTAAAAATTACTTATGCGATTCAAATGTTTGGAACCTATTTTTTTCAGGGAAATCCTTAAATCTTTAGTCATCCGATAACAAATCCTTGACTGTTTCCCATGAGCTAAATGGATTAATTGTATATCTGTGCTCATCTAGTAAATCTCTAAAATCCTTCCTCTTTTTATTGAACTGCTCTGCCATATACTCTTTGAATAGTTCAAACTTTTACTCCTAAGCTAGGAATTAAGAGTTAAATCTGGTATCATTTTTTATCTTTTCTTAAGCCTCTCTAAACGATGTCTATAAATGTTAATCAGAGATTTAAATATACATTGACTTCAGTGATCTTTTCCTTTAAGAGTTCTTTGAATTTATCCACGCAGGAATCTTACTCTAGTTTCAACCTTTTTCTTTCTTTTTTATCGATCTTCTAGACCTCATCATCATGACCGCCCATTGCAACCAGTCTTGCTCTTTTCTAGCCCACATCTGATAGTATTTCATTCAGCATGAATTCTTCGAATATTTGCTGCTTCATAGTCTTAGACTTAAATTCTTTGTATGCTGGTTCATCCTTAATTACCTTCTTTACATCTTTATAGGTTATTTCTGCAGTTAGGTTCATCATCCGGGGCAGTCTTATCATTAACTACTAATACTTTTCTACCTGATTTTCTCTAGTCTGTATTTTGAGCATTTATTGTGTTCTATTGAACTCTGAATACAGAAAATCCTTGTCTTCTCTTAACAATTTATCATAGAACTGCTGCCCTGCAAGTAGCTTATTCAAGTGCTAAAACTCAGAATCTTGATCTAACTTCTTTTCTATTATCAGTTTTTACAGAGTGTCATTAAACTGCTACTTGAGAGTGGAGTTTTATTGCCACAGCTTTTTCCTCTAACGATCCAAGTCTATATTTTTAATGTACTCTTCAAAGATCATTTCTCTGTATTGAGTTGGTATCAGTCTGCATCTAGGATCATGAATGACCTTTGGTAGCTCCTTCATCCAGTTTGTATTGAATACATCAACTTTCTTCTCTTTAAGCATTTCCTTGAACTGGACTATCTCTCTTTAATGACTTTAAATAAATATCTACTCAGGCGTTTCCTCGAAAGAATCATCAGAGGACTACTAATCAGAATCTACTTCATTCACATATTACTATTTACTCTATGATTTTTCCTAAGCCTATTACTTAATTTGAGTAATGCTAAAGTTTTCTTTTTCCTCCTCACTTTCTTCTTCACTTTATTTACTTTCCAATTCATCCTCATCCTCATCATATGCATTTGGATCAAGCATCTAATCATCGTATTAATATGAATCTTCATTTTCTTCCTCATTCTATTATTATTATAAAGATTGATTATCTTAATCATCTGATTTTGATCTAGCCAGTTCTTGTTCTTTCTATTCTGGTTCCTGCTCATTTTCCTCTTCAATCTCAATATTTAGAGCATCGCTGTCATCCCCATCTACATCAGATTAATTATCGTCTCTTTTTTCATTTATCAAACTTGCTTTAATTTTCTATTCTGGGTTATTATTCTCCAATGCACTACTATCTGGCTGTTTAACTACTTATATCGGGTTTTCTTTGAATATGCGCTTATTCTGTCTATGAAGGTACAACGCCCTTTTATCCTTTTTCTTCAAACCTAGAATCTATATAGCGATGAAGGGTGTTCCATGCATGCTTTCCCAATCTTTAACAACTGTGATTTCATCGCTCTCAATCCCATTAATAACCAAAGACTCTAAAATCAGTAAGGGATTGTCCCAGGTACTCTTTTATAAATCTTAGTTATACCAATAGGGAATACTTTCGCCTGTATTTTAATCTTGAGTTTCATACCTCTGCCATTTATTAAAGAACCCTCCATAGTATTCTAAGTGATAGCCTTGCATCCATTGAGGAGCATTAGCTGGTAGTTTGCTTAGAATCTTTGACTCTAATATTTGCTTTTCCAATGCAATCTTTTATTAGTATTCTAGATTCTAAGCCATCAGAGTCTGTGGTTTTCCTGATTCCTATTAACTCTTGTAATATTCCTTCATGTAATCAGGGACATCTTCTCCCTCCATAAACTACTAAGCTTTCTACTCAAGTTGATTCTACCACATCTCAACCTCTTGGTTAATGAATTGACCTTGCACCTACTTAGACTGCTCATCGCTGAAGTCCCAAAAATGCTTAAAAAAGTTTTTCTATTACTTCTTAGGATCCTTGTCGAAATTGTACATTTTCACCTGCTTAAATTACAAAGTATATTTGATTAAATTAATTAATAAATTTAAAATCTTAATGGAATCAAGTGAAGATATTAGAGAAAAGCTGAAGAAGTAAAGAGAAAGATGGCTTAGAGAAAGAGATATTGACAAGGAAAAGAAAGGTAAGTATAAGTTGAATAACTTTTGAATAGAGGTTGTTGAGGAAATCAAGTAAAGTTATCCATAGAATAGTGCCAGTTACTAATAAAATTTTCAATAGAATTAAATGTAGCCTGATGTAAGATAAAGATAATCTAAGAACTACAAGACATTACCTTTTATAGATAGTTGATAAGTTGTTTATAAAAATGAGCGAACGTCTTGAGTAAAAATTTGCCAGTGGTCAACTGACTAAGGGAGTTAAGTCCAGTGCACCACAGAATCAAAATTCAGAGGAACTTGAACAGACTCTTCACAACTAGGTCATGTCCAATACATGCCCCATTTGCTTTGAACTCTTCTTACCCCCAAATAACTAGCCATTCATCCTCTTTCCCTGTGGACATACCTTTTGTAAGATTTGCATTAGCAGTTACACGAAATAAAAGAAGAAATGCCCTTTCTGTAGACAGTCTATTCAGTCTATGGCTCCAAATATATCTCTCTAGAATCTGATATTGAGTGCTAACGAGAAAAAAGATGAAGTGATTAAGCGTCTTAAAGCCAAGCAAGATCAAATGCTGAAGAATAACGCTTTCTCTACTGATAATATGGGTCAAATGCAAAGCAATAACTCATCTATTTCTTCTCAATTTGATCAAGAAAAGTATCTGAATGACTACAAACTTTTGGACATCAGGTGTGGAGTTCTGGAAGAAGAGAGGCAGGATCACTTAGTGCAACTCTCAGATGCTAAGAGTGCAATTAGAGCTAAAGAAATAACTATTGAAAAATTAGCTGAGGAAAGAGAGGATTGTCAAGCAAGAATGAGAAAGCTTCAATAAGAGATGAATCTAATTTAAGATTTCCAAGAAAAAGAGTAAGAGTCAATAGAAGAGCTAAGGGGGGAAAAATCTCGACATGAGTAAAGTATGAAATTTATAGAAGATGCACTAGCTCCATTGAAAACTGAAAAGGAAAAAGTGTATATGATGATTAAAACCTTAGCACCCCATTTAATGAATGAATTACGCTGATTGAAATTGTAGAATGGTTTAATTTCATAAATTAGAATAAATTTTTGAGCTAATCATAAATTAGGGGTTTTGGGGTTTTGGGGTTTTGGGG